GTCTTCTCTACTATACTTTTTATAGTAGGTGATTGGTACATGCATTTTGCGGCACTGAGGTGCTTTTTTTTTTTTTTTCTAGTGACCAGACATTGTAATTAGCTCCTTTATCCCTGATTTCAGTTGGTTCCTGGGCTAGTGTATAACATTAGAAGAACTGTCCTAGGCAGTATATTCCAGGTGTATTTTCTCACTAGGAAAAAAAACTTTGGTAGAATATAGCACAGCATTCTTACCAAGCCATTTAGAAAACAAGCCCTGTGAATTTTAAGTTAAATGAGTGTAAGGAATGTGCAGGCCACATTTTGTACAAGGCTTTCAGAATTACATGGTGGGACAGATATATGCTATTCATTGGCTGCCCATGGCCACTGGTCTGTATTGATAATTTCTTGTGGCCCTCAAATGATGTTATAAATAGCCAAGTGGCCCATGGCAGATGAAAGTTGCCCACACCCAATAGAAATTTCAAAATGTGCAATAAATTCTGATGTGCTAGGTTTTCTATGAGATGAATTTGTAAAATTTTTTTGTCTTCTTATTTGGCTCATTGAAATGATCATAACCTCACCATTAGATTAAATGCCTACGGATCCTTCTTTAACTCAGGGAATCTCAGGGGATCTTCTTCTTATCTTTTCTACTTCTCTATAATCCAAGGTATCTATATTACTCTAAATGTTCCTATCAATTTATCAAATAATAGTAAGGGTTATTCCTTGAAAGACTATTGGAAAGCATTGTGTATAAAATCTATAAAGCATTTAGTCTAGTGCATGGAACTCACCAAACAGTCGTTATTTCTTTATTTCATTTTGAAATATATGGCCCTTTAAATCAAATGTGAAAGCTAAAAGATTGTTTGGGGAGTAGTATTAGAAAGGAAATACCATCAATAATTCAGAAACAGTCTATTTGACTTTTAAAACCTATCTGGCTATGGATCTCAAGAGGTGACTGTTTGGATCCCATGTGATGGTTAGATGTACCCAGAAGCCATGGTTTTCATAGAATATTTGTTAGGAAAAACCCCAGCCTGCACATCGGCCATGATTCTCCCCATTCCTGGGGAGGATTCAAATTATACATCACCAGAAGGAACCCTTTCCTCTATCATGTGTTCCAGTGGTCGTCCTGCTCTTTGAGGCATGTCATCTTCCCGACACTTTTACCCAACCAAAATCAAGTTCATTGTAACAGAAACAGCTGCATCCACACAAACTCCCTCCTTGTTTAGGTCAGTGGCAATAGAATATGTTCTGGCTAAATGTCAGATATTTCCTTTAAAATCAACTCTAACTTACCTCCTAGGCTGTGCATCTTCTTCTGGTCCCTTCACAGAGGACCTGCTCCAGAACTATCCTTTAGGACACATATTCTAACCCCCTTCAGAGAAGGAACAAGCAGACTCAGGCTCCATGAACCTCCTCATAAATCCTACAGCACTTTATAAAAAAAAACAACTATTGTTATTATAAAGATGATGTACAGAGGGGTTACATTTATATAAATCAGGTAAAGAGTACATTTCTTTTTTTATTGTGAAAATACTGTAGAGAGGGTTTACAATTACATGAGCAAGGTAATGAGTACATTTCTTATCAAGCATTGCAGCCTCTTCCTTTGTTTCCCCTTCCCATCCCTTCCCATCTCCCCCCCCACCTCCTCCAACCACCGCCCCCCTTTGCCCCCTCCCCACTCTGCTGGCACCAAATTTGTAAAGTTCGTTTTTTTCCAAGTCTTTCCATTTCCTCACAAATGGGACAATGTCATTCTTGCTGATGGAGGCATAGAATTCCATTGTGTATATATATATA